CACCAATAAGGAAGATTGAAGAATATAGATCGTTTCTTCCAAATGTTTTTCTCATTGGATTTCTTTTGGGTCTTTCCAAACACAATATTAATATTTTTCACTTGCTCATATACTTGTTCACCATTGCATGAGTACTCGATGCAATTGCATTCTCCTGACATCCATTAAATGCTTTCTTCATTTTACGATATGGATGATTAGCAGCTAGAAACTTTCTATGCCTATTGTACGCAATTTTTTGTCCATGTTTCAATTGGATATAACTTGTGTCTTCTTGACATAAAGGACACGCTAAATGACATTTCACACTATAACCGCTCAAATTACCATATGCTAGAAAATCATTTATAGTACAAAATAACATTGCACGCAACCTAAAATTCACTTCGTGATATGAATCAAATACATCCACTCCTGTTTCCCACAACATCTTCAAATCATCAATTAAAGGACTAAGATATACATCTATGTCATTTCTTGGTTGTCGAGGTCCTGAAATCATCATAGATAACATCATATATTTTCTCTTCATGCATAACCAAGGAGGCAAATTGTAAATGATCAACATAAGCGGCCATGAACTATGTTTACTACTTAAATTTCCATAAGGATTCATCCCATCCGTAGCTAATCCAATTCTCAAGTTTCTTGGCTCTGCACCAAATTCGGAAAGGTTTCATCAATCCTTTTCCATTGTGGAGAATCATTGGATATCGAAGAAGATTGTCACATTTTCTACCATTTGCATGCCATGTCAAGTTTCTTGCATCTTCTTTTATGGCAAATAATCTTTTAAACCTAGGTATAATTGGCAAATACCATAACACCTTAGCAGGGGGACCATCTAGTTCTTCCTCACCACTACTTTCCTCAACTTTGTTTTTGAACCTCGACAAACCACATGTCAGACACATCTTTAATTTAGCAAAATCATTTCTGTACAATATACAATCATTAGGACATGCATGTATTTTCTTGTACTCTAAACCCATTGGACATAATATCTTCTTTGCCTCATAGTTACGAATAGGTAATGTATTATCTTCAGGAAGCATCCCCTTCAACAACTCCAATAATTCGGTAAAAATTTTATCAGTCCATCCATTTCTTGCTTTTAAAGTAAACAATTTTAAAGTTGCTGATAATCTTGTAAAACTACATCCTATGTACAATTGTTGCGCAAAATCAGATTTCAAAGAATCGTATAGATGTGCTTTCATAAAATTTTCTTCACCAATATCACGTATCATATCCTCTAGATTATCATCCATCCCTTCATCAAAATTGTTCGTAGTTGACACGGTTGGGATGTCTAATATTTCTCCATGCCATGTCCATATTGTATAACTCTTAATAATACCATAAACAAACAAGTGATCACGTATATCCTCAAGTTTATGACGAATTTGATTCAAACAACGAACACATGGACCATAATATGTCCCTTTCATAGCTTTTCCATTTTCACTAGCAAATTTCAAAAATTCCTCAACTCCCTTTTCGTACTCTTCACTAATACGACGTGCATTCATCCAACTTCGATTCATATTATGTTATAAACTTTCGTCACTCCTAGAGATGTAAAAATTATATGTAAAAAGAAATTAATATACAAACAACAAAGCACGTTCCAACAACAATGGAGTGTGTAAACCGAATGCACTCAGACAAATAATTACATTCCAATAACAATCCGGTGGAGACATTCATACTATAACGTGATTGAGATCCCCAAAAACAATCACGGATTCAATGTAAACATATAGCAATGACATAGAACACTAACCTCGAGTGTAGACGAAAAATGATTTCAAACTCGAATCCAATCGGGGAGAAATATCAAGTTCGTCAAATGACACACAATGTAGATGTTTTTCATCGTAAAACGATCGAAAATGGTATGCGAGAGGTAGTTGTTGTCGTCGTTCTCGTCGTCGTTCTCAAAAACCCCGGTTGCGCGAGACGAGGGAGTGTGCCGGGGAGGGAATAAAAGAGACTTTTTACGTCGCGTCTTTGGGGTGTGCGACGTAAAAGTTTTGTCCCTTATTTACAAAATTGCCACCGCGTTTTATTTACGTCGAATATTTTTACATGCGACGACAATTGGGTGACGTAAAAGCCCTTTTCTGCACTAGTGATTACTATTTTTGTATGTTTTTTTAATCTACACTTTGAAAGTGAATCATTTTCAATAAATACTTTCTTTCCTCTTGTTTTTTTTTTCCATTAATTATAACCATTTCCTATATAAAAAATTTGTTTGAATTGAATAAGATCACTGTAAGTAAAAATTTTCCTCCTAAAATTTATTCTAATTAATTATATATCTAAAACTTAAAATGGATAACTCTGTTATTAATAATAAATCATTTTTCCTACTAAAAAACAATGAAAATTTTTACTTTGCTTAATTTATATTGTTAATGCTTAAATTGATTCGCGCTCATGATTCAAGTCCTTAGTTTTGAGGATTAAACGATTTTTATACTTTTTTCCTATTTACATAACCACGTATCTTCTGTAATGTTTTGATATGCATTAAGAACTATAATAAGTATTTTTATTATTTTTTTAATCAAATGTTTTTACTTCCATAAATAAACATATTTAATAAATACTAAACTTGCTTCAATGAACATTAGACATGATGTCAACATTTTATATTAATTAAAACAATTTTTTACTAACTAAGCTTTAAAGGTATTTATTTTCTAATAACTATTTTTATTGGTTAAAAATATTTAATTAATCAAATCAATTTTTTATTATTAAAAGCACCTATATAATGTACTAATTATATGTTAATTTAAAGACTAACAACTGAGAGATTAAAAAAAGAGTATATTATTATCCCAAATTATTAAGTACAATGAATATGTAATTATAATAGTTAACAAATGATATTAGTTATGTACAAAATAAATCGATATCATTATTCATTTTTTTTTGGTGCATATTAATGTTTTCAAAATCGGAGATCCGAGATTGAATTTGAAGGTTAAGATTTAAATATTAAATTTAATAAAATAATATTTTTATAATATAATAAATTTATTAATAAAAATATTTTAAAAATAATAATAAAGATGACCAATATAAAATATATTTAAAGATTGTAAGATAGATAATTATTAAAATAAAATAAAAATATAATAAAATATTTATTTTTTTAAATTGATGTAATTGATACGTATGAACGACAATTAAATCTATACTTGCGTACATTGATCCGTTCTCGTCCAAATTTGATGTCAAAAAATCGAAATGATTGGAGGTGAGCGCTGGGCGAGTTTGAGTTGTTCCTGTGTTTAAAAAGTGGTGGACGTTGCACGGGAATTCATAATGTAATCTCGTCTCCGTCCCGATTTTATATTTATATTTGAAAATATTAATATTTTAAAAGTTTTTTTTCATTATATATAAGGTAATTTTTTATCTATATTTTATTATTATTTTTTTTTTACATATTTTTTAATTTTTTTATCTTTATATCAATTAATTCATTAGATTCTTTTTTTCTCTCATCTTTCACTTTTTCACATCTCCTTAATCTCTCAAATCAATTTGATGAATACAAAGTTAAATTTTCTTATTCTTTATCTTTTTTTCTTTTAAATATTTTACATAAATATTAATAGTAAATTATAATATTATTTTATTTATACTTTATTTTTATTAGATTTTATTATGTCATATTTTTTGAATCTTACTATTTTTATTTGTCATAAATCAAAATTTATCTTAATAAAATAATTATATTTTAAAGAATTAAAACAAATTAATAATTTAAATTTATATTAGTTTGAACTAATGAAATAAAAACTAACTTATTAAATATTTTTTTATAAACTATATATTTCATATTTTTAAATGATAATTTAAAAAGGAATTAATATATATATATATAATCAAATATTTGAATACAATATTAAAATAATTTTATTATAAATATTTAAATATTTAAATAATAATAATAATTCCACATTTATATAAATAAAAATTAATTAAATTTTTTTTTACATACATATTTTAATATAAATATATTAAATTTAAAAATATTTTTAATTAATAATAATTATAAATATTTATTTATGTAAAAAAATACATAAAAATAATAAAATTAATTTATAATAAATATAATTAATTTTTAAAATATAATATAGATTAAAGATGGGAAGAGAAACCCAAAAGTCAATGAGAACAAAAATTTAATTTTTAACATCAACGATGATTAAAAAAATAGGAGATGAAGATTGGATAGATAAAACTTGTTCTGTCGCACGTTCACCCTGTTACTATACCTACTTTTATGAGACAAAAAAAATATCTTATATTTTTTATAAAAAGATTGATCATAATCTAATTTTTACTAAAATAAATAAAAAAATTTATTAATTTTGTCCCGATTTAATTAAAATTTAATTATTTAAAGATAACGAACCAATTTCTACTTCTATTATTAATTAAACTGATTCGGTTCAATTTTTAAAAAATGATTTTATATTCTTATAGCTAGTATAAAAACAAATTATAGAAATATTTTCCGACAAATCTATATAAAGTATAATATATTGATATTTTTTCTTAATCAGAATTAAAATTGATTACTGAATTTTTTTCCTTTTTTTTTATATAAGCAGAATAAATTATATAAATGAGAATAGAAAGAGACTAGAAGGGAAATGGGTTAGTGGATAAAATTAGATTGAGTTTTGTGCTTGAAATACAGTTGATGGCAATTCCTCACCCACCACTTCCAACATGGGAAAACAATTTAGGGTAATGCTACCCACCCCAAAACCCTAATGGAATAAACACTGTTCTGGGGGATATATATGTGATTTTCCATAATCTCCATGTGAAATGAAGGAATATAAAAGAGGGAAGAAAAATAAAAATAAATAATAATCAAAACCCATTAGAATAGAAAATTAAAGAAGAAAAAAAAGTGATGAACTTTAGATAAGTTAACAAGGATACATATTTGAAGTTACTTGTTCTTAAGGAGTGGTTCTACCATAATGGAGCACCATGACATGATCCGAGGTTGAGGAATCTGAAAGCAATGCTCTTGTGCTGTCTCTGGGGCTCCAAATGTTATCCCTCACATGCTGCAACGTCAAGAAAGGTAAAAGTTGCTGCCCTCTGCATCTTATCTCTATCTGCAACAGTGTTTCATTCATTACACATTTATTAATACCATTCTTATCACTCTTCGTTATCATCTTCCACATTCACCATCACGTGGCTACACAGTGATTTATCCACCACCACAACATAAACAAATACATTTATGATGTCAAACACAAAAGTTGCATTGCAAATACAAACGCACAGTGCATGCATTACCTTGGCCATGGTTAAACTCATTATTCATATCATCATCACAACTTTACATCTAGTCTAGTGCGTGTTTACAAGACATGATCGTTATAATGTTCATTCTCCATCTTCCATTTTTCCAAATTCATTATTTTCATATACTAAAAACCCATCATTATCTTCACTTTTTCTCATATATAATCTCTCGTCCCAATTTTTATATCCTCCTTTACGCGACGCCTCGCTTTAGTTTACTTTCAAGTAAAGACTCTCTGCCATATATTCAAACTACATATACACAATGTTCGTAATTAACGTTTTCCAATTGTCAAATCATTAACTCACTTTGCAAATTTACCATTAATTAATCTTGATATTTCTCCTAGACTTTCGCTAATTCATTGGACTAATATTATGACTGAGACGAGTGTTTTAGCCACAGGAAGAAACACCAGTATGATAATATATATATGTATATATATTTGTAAAAATATATATGAAATCAGAGTGAAGTCATGCTTTGTCAGTGGCTTACGTCTAGGGCCTACTTACCAAGGCATAAGATCTTTGTAACTTCTACTTTACGCATAAGATTGATCCACACACACCTCCACTTTCCTATTTGAATTTAACGTTTGAGAAAAGTGATTTCCTTTAAGCCAAGAGATTCCTAAATCCTTAAGCATGCACGCATATTTGGGTCAGCGGGCAATCGTGGAAATGCCCACCCAACCCACCATCTCAAAAACTGCCCTCTCTTTAATCATTATGGGGGCCCATTCAGACTTTGCTCCCAAGCCATAATCATCATCCCTTAGACTTCAGTCTTTTCTTTTCTATATTATATAATGCCCCAATACTATTATTATATATCATACCATATGCTAATGCTTCTACTATCATCACAAATACTCTATATCCTCTACCAATAAATCTCTCACTCTTACTATTAAACAAATATAAACACCATAACGTACACTATATAATATGATGCAATGTTGGATCCATAAAGCACGGCGAAGAATAGGCAAAAAAAAAAAAAACCTATTGTAATTTAATATAATAAATCCATAACTTTTATTTTCCTCCTTTGAAGGGACCTAATCACTCGGTTATCTTGCTAAATTTTTCATGGGCATCATGCACGTCTCCATCACGTTGCGCCACCCAAACCCTAATGCATGCGAGCGTCAACATTACTACATGAAATAATATCCCTTTTGATTTTTCATCATCGGCTAGCTAACTTGTTTCATGTGTCATATAAAAAAAAACACAAATATATATATATATATATATATATATATATATATATATATATATATATATATATATAAACTAACTCCATGTTCTTTATTTAATATTGTACCACCGGTTTGAACTCGAAAAACCATTTTAATAAACAAGTAATTAAAGTGGCGTATGTTCCTTCCAACTAGTTTTTTTAATGGTGCATGCATATCACTCACCAACTTTTATTGTTATTAATATTATAGGATATGCACGTATCTTCTTTTCTTTTTAGTATATAGACGTGGAAATAATTTCTTAGAACTGAATATTTGTGGTGAATAGGGTAGTACTGTGAATTAGATTAAGATTTTGTTCTTATTAGAGAGTTAGTATGGATTTATACTGTGGTTGGTGGAAGATGCTGGGTACACATAATGGGATTCTTTCTTTTGGTTTCATTCCATGAGAGTGCAGCACTTGACAGTTTGATGGAGCTTTTAAGCCAAATATTCCGTATAAAAGGTGTGTGTGTGTGAGAGAGAGAGAGAGAGAGAGAGAGAGAGAGAGAGAGAGAACAAATGGAAATGGTAAGGCCCTACATTAGCTGTGGAGAGAAAGAGAGAGAGAGAGAGAATTGAAGGCATGCAGATAGGTATTGAGTGGTGAGAATGACAGGGTCCACGTGTGATTTTGGAAGCCCTAGGATATGATGTTTGAGTTAAGAACAAATATCTCGTAACCTTTTTGTACGAGTAGTGGTGTCAACTAAGTAGGCCAAGATAAAGATACATCAAAGTTGAAGATGTGTTTTTACATCTTAAAGTCAATGCACTCTTTATAAATTACAAAAGCAACAAGCAAAAGAGAAAAAACAAATAATAAAGCCAGGGATACACACCTTCCACCATGAAAGACATCTTTTTGCTTTCTTCCATTCATTATTGTCTTGACTGTCTATTATATATGCATATCCATGTTCATATTATTCTATAAACCAAAACACTTTCTTCTTTTATAAACCCTTTCATTGCGTTTTCTATCAAGCTATCTCCTTCTTTTCTGCTAAACCAAACCTTCACTCTATTTATTATCAGTTATAAGCTCCCAAAGATCATTTATAAAAAAATTAAGAGAAAAGATAAGAAAAACTTTTCCTGAATTTACGATCACAAAGTAATTTTTAAACCTAATAAGAAGATTAAGGTAGCTAGCCCTAGGTTAAGTTGGATCATGAATCACACTAATTATAACCCTAATGATTGGGTCTTTAGTTTCGAAATCCAAATCATGTGTGAGGTTTGGCGTTCCGGGCGGCATGGGAACTACATGCAAACCAGCTAGCATATTCTTATGTATTTTTTATGATATATAAAACTCAGACTGGTCTTAGGTTGACTTCACCTCACAAACAAACAAAACCAACCCAAAAATAAATTCAAAATCAGCAGCCAGAGGAGTTATGTTGAATGCGTCACACATTCTAATTTATTACAACAAACTTAGATTACTCTAATCATAACAACCAGCAAATATCATTTTTTTTTAGTTCATGCATCTCATTCTCAGAATAATCTTCTTCTTACATTAACTAAAAACTAAAATTTACTATATAACATAAAGATTGGTACGTCTTTCAAACAATTAAGTTCGATAAATAATTTATTTTTTTCTACTCAAAATAAATTATCTTTGAATAAATATCTGAAACATGTTCCAAGAATAAACAAATTATAGCTATTTTTTTTTAATAAGCAAAACATAAATTTATTAATGCAAGTACTAGTACTCAAAATTACAGAGTTTTAGAATAAATAAATCTTACGTACAACTCAATGACATCTCTTGTGATCTTATACATATATTGAGTACGAGAGAGGGAAGGTGTCTTAATCTGATCTCAAAAGCATGAGTTGGAAGGCAAACATGGCATAGATATAAAAGCTCAACGAGGAGGGTTGACCGAAAAAGTAAGTTGCATGAAAATCTGACGAACAATGGAATGTCGATTTTGTGCATTGTGCAATCTCGCATGATTTATTTTTTAGACAATTTGGTAATGTATACCATGAACGTATATCAGATTTTGCGTGGCAGACAACCAATTAAATTAAACAAATGAAACTTGTGATGCATGTTCGATACATTTCACACCGATTCTTCTGTTTTGTCGTGTCAGTTTGGCATAAAAAGTCTAATACCATTATTCTATTCGTAAACATGTTCCTTGGCTTTAGTTGTTTTCTGGATAATACTTCTGTTCATCCAAATACAGACAAAACAGGTATTCAAGAGAAACAAAACCTAAACAAAAATTGTGTGTGATATATATGTATATATATTAACTCTTCATTTTTCATCATACTATATTATTAATATAATAAATGTATTTTATTCTCTTATATTAAATAGCATATGGATGTCCACTCATTATTTTCAAACAATTATATTTCCTTCTAAGGAGCAACCTAAACCCACTCCATGCACAAATCAATATTAAATTCAAACGTGAAAAATCTTATAAAAATTTGGCCTTTGAGTTATTTATTGAAACCATGTTTAGGAAAAGCTTATTTTTAAGAAAAAAACTTTTTGACCCCAAAATAAGCCAATCCAACAATGTAACGAAGATGAAATGCGATAAACATTGAGATTGAAAATACTTGCTAAAATATATTGTGGGCAGCTCGAATAAGAGATGCTTAAATAATCAAATAATAGATTATTTAATGCCCAAATGGCTTAAATCTTAACTAAAGAAAAAAAAAGAGTAAAAAAAAATTAATTCAAGTCACTGAACGAACAATAATTATCCCTATAAGAGTACGTTGTGAACTTCAGAATACTACGACGATATAAAAATAAACCAATCTAAAAACAATATTTCAAACATAAAAGTAGGAAAAACAAGCGAAGTTCCTTTACTAATTTTTGAATGATTCAGTCTTCAAAAACTCCAAATGGTTTATAAATGTTTTCATCATGCTAAAACTGAGTATGGTATCATCAACTTAGTGCAATAATAAAGGAGTGGGGTGAGCATCTAATGATTGTATATATATATATATATATATATATATATATATATATATATATATATATATATATATAGATCTTAATTTTTCTGCTAGGTCAGATCTAGTATTTTACGGGCATGCATGAATATTATGATGCAAGTTCTATGTGTTGCTTCGTTTTCTCTAAGGATTCAAACCTTTTTTAGTAATTATTAGGCAACAAGTAGTAGTGGTGTTCGATGATGAAGTGTGCATGAAGTATTGTAAAGTTCTGGGTCGACACACTATAATGCGCACATTCTAATAATATCACTCAATGCATATATAGCCTCGTGCACATGTTTCATAATGATCGTAGATCATAAGTATCGCAAAGTACACCTAATTCTCAACCCAATTTCTATACCAGTTCTGTACTTTAGAGACCGTCTATCATTAAGTTTCCACAAAAACTTAACGTGCACAATCTCAACAACATATCTTGAATAAAACTATCATAATACTAGTTTTTTTTTCATCTATGTAAGTATATAAACCAATTACTACTGCATAATCTTTGTGCCCTGAGAGACTGAGATGTAATTTAAATGAAAGGGAACCTCTTCAGTTAAACTTTTGTTAGGGAAGTGATGCAGATTAGTTTCCCAATTAAACTGGTTATTGTTCTTAATCCTGTTTAGTACATAAATGATCCTTTTTCCTAGTCTATCTTTTCCGTGTGCATGGGATATATAACTATTCTACCCCAACATTTCAATGTTTTACTATCTATAATTCATAATTCAACTATCTTTTATCTACATGATATACATTCTACTCATGTCTAGTTTAAATCTTGATTAGGTTTAGTTCTACGAAAGAATACAATTTTGTTCAAACAATTTCGTCACTCTTTTCTACACACATGTGGTGTAGACCATTTAAAGTTCCATTCATGCAAATCAGTGGTAAGTCACTGAAATCATAAACTACTCGAGCATACGCGCTGGTGATTATTGCGATGATACTGGGTGTAAGGAGTATTATAATCTGAAACAGTGAACCCAATATCAACTAGAGGAGCTTCCTTCTATGAAACTAACTTTTTGCTAGAAAGAAAATATATATTATTTTTTTGCCGTGAAGTAATTAAGTAGTAATTATGATATATCTTTAATTAAGTTTCTCCTTTTGAACAGTTGCGGTACACCTAACTAATAATACCCCAATTCCCACCACCAAACACAACACAAAAACAAATAGAAGGTTCGTGGGATCCTATGTGGAAGCTCCGAATTGTCTTAGTTGGATGGACAAAAGACACTATGATTATAATCAATTGATGCAACACCATGACACAGAATGGGTATGAAATGTAATGAAAACAGAAATGCAAGACGAGTTTCGAGATATATACTTCTCACCTGCATACTTTCTTTAAGGATTTTATGGGAAGAAACATATATTTGGTCCATCACTAGATAAACCTGCTTTAGTTCTGCTGTATCTTTCATCTTTCTAACCCCACTAGGTTTCTATTTTAATGTACTTCGGTACTTTTGATGAAAACGTTGTTCTATTTCCTTTTCGGACACTCCTATGTAATCCGCTATGTTCATTTTCATCTCTCTCTAATTACATGCCTAATAAAGGAGCAACAAATTAATGGATTAGCAAGGTGCATGAGCGAGAGAGCAACGATGGAATCCCTAGCTTTCTACTTTGCACAAGCACATAGACACACATACATATCAGCAAGTAGATTATTAATTTATATATTTATGTAGAAAGCTAAAGACATGGTTGAAACTTGAAAGTACCTCTGATTCGCTTTCCAGTCTAAGTTTGCTAACCAGATACTTCAATAGCAACCGAACTGTCATCCTTCCGTCTCTGAAAGTTTAGAAAGTCAAAAAGAAATGATGAGTTTGCAGCTCCAAATACGATCAAATCATGATCAAAACGACATTGATTACACACTGACAAGAAAAAGCCCCAAGCTGCTCAAGAAAGAGAGAAGAAACAAACAAAAGAAAGAAAGAAAGAAAAAGCCACTTACTTAATTCTAAGGTAGTTCTTAGGTATTTGGGGCAAGAATGGTTCTTTCGCTCTGCATTGTGCAAATTAAAACTAAGTGAGTTTCATCACCAAATCCAGTCAAATTGCACTAGCCTTGCTAGCTAGATGCATGCACACACACACACACACATATATGCATATATATAAAAGGAAAAAGGAAATGAAAAAATAGAGCACTAGAAACAAAATGTACAACAAATATTAATTGGCATTTTAATTAGCTTACTGATTTTGAGAAGCTTGCAACATAAACCATATTCCAGAATGAGGTCTTCGAGGAGGATCGACAACTCGAACGGTGACATCGGAGCTTGGTCCAGCCCCAGCCACGTCATATTGATCAAACCCAGAAGAAGAAGAAGAAGAAGGGAAGTGATGAAAGGGTGTGGGAAAGTAAGATCCTAAGGGAGGCCTCAAAGGGGAGTAACAAGATTGTGACGAGGAAGAAGAAGAAGAAGGAGGAGGAAGTGGAGTGAAAGAGGAAGAAGAGGGCATAATAGGCATAGAATGAGTAAGTAGTGGACCAAATGCCCAGTTCATCATCTCCTGATGACCAAAGGTTGAGGTAATTGGACCACTAGCCGTAGACATGGACATGGAAGAAGACGACGTCGTTTGATGCTCAAAAAGCAAAGAAGAAGAACCACCGAAACTAGGCCCTCCTCCTCTCCCGGAAGCCACCACCGGAAAAAACGCCGGCGGCTGATCGAAGCTCCGCCGTGAGGGTAGCAAATCTAACTCCACAAGCCCTGAACCGGTTGTTGTTGGAACGGTTCGATCACTGTCTTGCTTTGTGCTTGTCAAACCTATGCTTAATTGAAGCCAGTTATTGTTGTTGATGTTGTTTTTTGCTCCTTCTACTTCTTCTTCCTTTGAGGTTGAACCGCAGCCACCGGGTTCAGCTTCCTCGTTGTTGTTGTTGTTGTTGTTGTGTCTGGATGATTCTTCAGCATCAGCCATGACGTGCCTCCTCACCACAAAATCAGATCCTAATAAGCAATTGTAGCCTCCTTCAACTTCAATAACCTGGTTCATAGCACTACTCGTTGTCGTGTTACCGTAAATAACAAAATCACCACTCCTATTAATGTTCTGTTGTTTCCCGTTTTGAGAAGGAACCATGGTCATATTGGACTCTCTCCACAAACCAAGAAACCAAACCCGATGATGATTATGATGTAGTTGCTGGACATGCGTCTGATCTCAGCACAATCCATGAGAAGAAGAAGGAGAAGAAGAAAAAGAAGAGAAGGGGTTTGGAATCTCGGGTTTATATTGTGGAAAAGGGTGATGAACAGGAATTGCATAGTGGTTTGCCATCATCGATATCATGATCAATAAGGAAGAGAGTTAATAGTAACAAGACAGCCATCAACTATGCAAATAATTCTCAGTAGCTGCAGCAAGAACAACAAAGAGAACTAAATAATTCTTTCTTGCAAATCTCACTTTCCATTAATTCTCTTTGTTTGGACGCTTGTGGGCTAGAACTGTTTGCAGAAGCTATGTGAGAAAAGAGAAAGAGTGAGAGAAAGAACGAGGGATGGTGGTCTCTCTGTCAGTTGAATAAATAAATAATTTTATTATATTTTATATTTGTATACATGTCTTTCAACACTATTCTATAGCAAGAGTTTGTGTGCCTTTAAAATTTGATAATTCTCTTAAACTCTAACGACGATGACTATTTGATTAAAAAAAATTACTTGCTCAATATCATTAAGTTGAAATGCCAAAATTAACTTTTAATTAATCAACCACACAGAAAATGAACTGGTTTTGTTATGATTAAATATTATGGGATACAAAATTTCCTCTTATAACGACGATGTAATTAATTAATTAATTAGTTGTGCATTTAAACCTTGATTGTTAATAATTTTAGCAAAACGAGAAATGTGATAACTTGAGCAGTTAAGAATTGTTTTTTGCAATGCCTATTAATTAATGTTTATTTTAATATAGGGGTGGACAAAGAGGAGGGTCCTGCCAGCGAACAGTTTTGGGCCATGTTCCGAGGAGAAAATGACTGCAAAGGGTCTCACCCTTTTTGTTATGTCCCTAAAAGCTCCTTTTTAGCCCTAATGACCTTCTGGTCGGGTTACCCTAATTATTAACGTTTAACTACTCATAATATTTGATACCCAGACATAATAAAAAAAAAAATGAATTTTAGACTACCTTACCTTAACTTTTCAAAAATATATATCTTGATTATCTGGCTATTGTTTTTTTAACTCTAACAACTTTCACAGATAAATAGTACAACTTTATAAAGTGATATATACACGAATGGCTTGTTGAAATAAATTTGTTGTTATTGTTGTTCACTCTTTTGAAAAAAATATTCGCTGGTTGTCATCTTGTAGTAGTATTTTTGCATGTTCACTTTGAACTTTTTTGGTTTATATATTCAAGGTGATCCTGATCAATGGACTTGTTCTGAACATTCAACTGCATGCTTTTTGAATAATGCAACTTTTGAAAATGTTGTTGTCAAAAGTTTACTTTTACAGTGAGTCTTATTACAAGTTTTCGAAGAAGTAACTCTAAAGGTATAGTTTTTAAAGAGTGGCATGTCAGCAATGCCAAACTTAATCAGGCGCATATATTATTAATATTTTAGGTTCATATTGCCCATCCTTCCCTGCATAATTAAATAGGTGTGACACAGATGGTACTGGAGATGATATTGTAATGAAGCTGATATGAGTGATCATGCAAATGGTTACAGAAAATTGTTGTTTAAGTAAAAGGGTATTGAAATGCTAAAAAGTCCAAATAAAATAGTGAAGAGCAGAGAGATCAAACAAAGTGCAGTTTTTTGGGTATTTTGTTGTTATGTGTGTTTTTTGGTTGCTCTGGGAATTGGGGGAGGAGACGGAGAGAAGGAATATAAGTAATTTAAGTGGGAGGGCATGATGACCAACCTGTCTAGAATGGCATAAAATGGAAAGACATATAATAAACAAGGGCAAAAGGACACAAGTCATTAATTCATTATTAAGATTCAATTATAAAGAAATAAATAGAATAGGACTTTCATTTGGGCATGCATGATGATGATGGTGTCTCCACACAACCCAAGAATCGAAACACTGCGACGTGGGCTTTTATTGTAAGACATTCGTTCCAAAAGCCATGTGCTTCCCACCCTCCTTGCATCTATTTGTACGGTCTCTCTCTCACTCTCACTCTCAATCTCTATTCTTTTTTCTGCTTCTTGGGAATGGCTTATGAGGAGGACCAATATCAGAAGAGAGTCTTCAAAATCAATCTTGCACTATATATGACTAATGCTTAATCATACTTGGATAATATTTATATTTCAATTTTTCAATGTTGAATAGAGTACTTGTGATGTTTAAAGATGAACAATGAGCTTGGCTGACCCTTGCTGAAAAGCTGCTACTTTCTTTCCAGCCCATCCAACGTTCTCTCTCTAAAGCAAAACAGCTTTATTTCGAAAGAAACTTTCAAAGAAGGGTGAGGGGTCAATCGACCAAATTCCCTTACTTAAATTATGTTGCAAAACTTTACAAGTCTTTGACATGCCGGGCCAATTCCAACTCTTACACAACATTTTGGACAAATTCATAATATTTTTATAATATATATATGTATACAGGGATTCATTAACAAACCTTCCACATATTAAGTGTCTTAAAAAAAAACTGGTCAAAGAGTTTGACATGTATATCCACTAATTAGAAGATTTGGGAAAGTTGGATATGTATCTTTTTTTTTTTTTTTTTCAAATTGGAGGTCTATTTTGAGAAGACTCTCTCCCTCCTCCGGAATTGAATCTTCATCATGATTACTTTCGTTTCCTATGTGATGGTTGTGTGAAATGCTGTAACCTCATTTTTTCTACAAAGAAAAAAGTGTTTGCCAAATGGAGAAAATAAGATATAATGTGTCATGCGCTTATAAAGGCAGCAAGCAAAAGAGATGAGAAGCGTGACCTCTGGTGGCAGTGCATGGATTGAAATCAAAGGGACACTTTGTTGATGATGGCGATGTCTTTCTACCCTAAAATTTCACCCTCAAGATATACATGCATCATGTATAATATTTCATTCCAAATTAATACTCACATAGACAACTCAATGCACTTTTTTTTCTTTAATTTAAAAAAAAAAAAATCAAAGTGCGAAAGAGTTTTTACATGTATTCAAGTTTTAGTATAAACTATGCATCGTGAGTCTCATTTTAATTATAATAACAAAAAGGAAAGACGAGGATCTCCACTTTACCTCCTAAAATTCTTCTTAGTAATCATAAGAGTATATTTCATGAGCACAAATCTTAATATATATATCTTTAAGTGTGGACAAACTAAGTTAGACGTAAGTAGTTAATTTAAAATAATATATAGAGTTGCGACCAATTAGGAGTTTATTGGTAAAAAGTTGGCGCTGAAAACAACTCCAGATTAGGAGTTTGTCTTTTTCTGTTTCTTCTTCCCTTATGCCTTTTTCCAACTTTCTTTTTCCCATTTTTCATTATGACTTTGTCACTTTGTCCAAAATTACTGTCTTCAACATAATACCATGAAAAAAAAACAACAACAACAACAACAAAAGAGTTTGGAAGTGGCTACATGAGACGATCGAAGAAACCATGTAGTGTGATAGAAAGAGGAAAAACACCAGTTTGTTTGTAAAGGAAAGAAAAGATTTTGCAGAAATATAAGTGAGCGTATACGTAATAATCATGCATGGGATGGTGTGGCATGACCTTGAGTAATTGTAACAGATTCCATGGGCTATGTGATTTTGATTTAGCACGGTACTAAGAGAAGGGGACCAAACAATGATAGCGTTTGCAATGTTGATGTCCCCATTAGAGAAAGTGGGTTAGCTAGCGCTGTGGTGTCTTTTTCCCACTTTCAAAGATGAGTGGACAATTGAAGAGAGACAAGTTTCACTGTGTAATAATTTTTATATGCCCAAAACAATTATCCTCTTTAATATCGTCATCATGGCATCATCAATACGACCATCATCACCAATTCCATCCATCCATCCACACATTACAAGACAAGAAGATGAAGAAGAGTGAGGCCCAATTCAACACACCACACTCAAATTGCTTCATCCATATGGCTACTTAACCTGAACACATGTAGTAGGTTGTTCTTAAAAAATTTTGACCATTGAGTTGTGAGAAAAAAAGGGTTTCTTTTGTTATTGAAGAGAGAGAGAAAGAGAGAGGTGGGAAGTGTTAAGTGTTGTGTTTGCATGTGCATGTGTTATTATGAGTGGGTATGTCAGGCCATGCATGTGAGAGTGTGGGGGATAACTGTAAGTTGAGGAAACCGAGAGGGAGAAAAGAGAATATTGCATGGCTTATGGGGGGTTAAAATTTGTCAGATTCGTGTGCACGGTCCACTTTTGGGCTTTAAGATAGGAGTGGCATGCCATGTGATATCGTAATTTATAGCCTAGTACTTTCAATCCACTAACCTTTCCTTTGGTCAACAAATCAACGATGCTATTCGAAAATTAATCATATATATTTTTCAAATACTCCATCTATAACATCCTCTTATTCTTACATGCATCTTTTCAAAATCATTTACTACACCAATACAAAGCCCTCCCCCTACTCACAATGTTGTTGAATGGCGTGTCATCCAACTCCTTGCACTACTACAAAATATGCTTTCAACGTCGCCATTTAACGTCGGTTCAAGCTGAGCCGACGTTAAATACACTTTCAACGTCGGTTGGTTAAAAAATGACGTTGAAAGTTGAATGTTGGTCACATTCTACGTCGGTTCTTAGTCAAACGACGTAGAAAGTATTTTCTACGTCGGTTCCCATATGAACCGACATTGAAAGTCTTTTTTTATTTTATTTTTTACTTATTGATAGCGGTTATAAGGGAACCGCTATTATATCCTCTTAATTATGATCGATCATTTCAAGTTATGATCGATCAGAATCTAATTTCGCTCGAGCGAGAATAGTGTCGCTCAAGCGAAATACAACCCGAGAATGCTAATTTTGTGCAGGGGGCGTTTCGCTCGAGCGAGAAGGGTGTCGCTCAAGCGAGATACATTTTAGATAGCGGTTAACCTGGAACCGCTATTATATTGTTTCAATTATGATCGATCAGAATGC